GGGGGGGGGGGGGGGTGGCAAAAACCTGTCTGGCAAAAAATCAGCGAGTTCAATCAATCAATCAATCAATCAATCAATCAATCAATCAATCAATCAATCAACTTTATTTAAACACGGTAAATGGCTCAGCAAGCTGGTTTTCAGACATGCCGTGTGATAATTACAATTTATAAAAATTAAGACTAGTGATTAACTAACAAAACAATATAACAGCAAGAAATGAGTATTAGAAATAAGATATAAACATAATAAAAGTTATATCCTAAGATATGGCGAGTTGCAAGTTGTGTGAATACTGACTTCTGATTGGATAAAATTACGCGGGAGTCACATCATACGCGGGATCTTCGTCACTTGCCACAATACAGGTTTGCCTTGGTACGGTAAAACGCGCAACATAATATAAAATTTTGTTGCAAGAAGTAGAACTACTATCCGACTTTCTGCAACAACTTTTCGCAACCTGCAACACTGACCTGATTTGTTGCAAAACAGGTTGATTCGTGGGTGGTGGAACATGTAACACAGCTAGTCAACTCGTTGCACGTTTTTGCTGCCCGTTTTATTACGGCAACTTAAAACTACACTGAAAATAAAAAAAGGTCTGTTTCAGCCCCAAAAAGTCAATTCAGCCTTTCAGGCCAGAGCCTGACTCAGCCCTTCCTGGAGCCATTTGAGCACAATTTAGGCCAAAAAAGCTCAATCAAAAGGCTATTCCAGTCCACGGTAGGGCCCATTTCAGCCCTAGCTAATTGGACTGTATTGGCCCTGATTTAAGGGAGCCAAATTAGACTCAAAAATAGGACTGTATTCTACTCACAGAAACGGCTCTATTTTTAGGGCTAAAACAGATCTTTCTGATTTACAGTGTATAAGACATGTATCCCGCGAACATACATGCCCTCTTTAAAAATATCCAAGGGAAGGGATTTGACGAGTTAGAGTACAGAAAGGATAGAAAAATATATCATCTTAGGTATCAAAAATGGCCTTAAATTGAAATGTTTCGAAAAGACGTGACTTAGGCTATCATTTTAATTTATTAAACGTTCCATGAAAACGGAAAGAAATGATTTATTTATATTAAATTATTATGTTAAAGGGGTAACATGCATTTTTAGGTAACTGAGGTATACGAGGGGGGTACCGTTTCTGTCAAAAGGGGCTGGACCTCGGGGCCAAATGTCCCCGTATAAAACTTTGTCGAGTAGAACCCCCACCCCGGAATCGACCTCATTTTATTGCGTGTTCTCACTGGAATGAGGAAAAGGCCTATTAGGTCAAAGGATGATACTTTCAGGCCACCGTCAGGGTACCTACTGTTTGCGTGCTTTTCGCAGTTCATCTTTTAATTATTAGAATTATGAAAACACGGATTTTCTTTTATATTTCTGACAGAACAATGGAGAAGAAGGTACCAGCTTCAAAAAACTAGAGAACTTACTAATACCTCAACGTGTGATTGGTCAAGTTCTTGGCAGACGACGGGAAAAGTTGCGAACTATCCAAACTACAATCGGTGTTGAACTTAAAGTTATCAACGACACCTTCTACATCAAAAGAGCGACTAAAAAGAAAGAGAAACAAGCGGAACGCCAACTAAAAGAGGCGGCGGTATGTCTTAATTCTAAAGTGATTAAAAATACGGTAGAAAGGAAAACAAAAACTTGGAACTAGTAGAATAGCTTCGTATCGCGTTTTACCACGCACGAATCAAACCTGTCACTGAAGAGAGGATAAGTGCCTTTATCCTCTCTTGAACCTGTCTTGCAACAAATCGGGTCGTTGCAGGTTGCGAAAAGTTATCCAAGCCGTTTCGTCCCTCATCGTCGGTAAGTTATATAATAGTATAGATTTAAAATCATAGCTGACAAGCACTCGCAGAATTGTAACTTTGAGTACAAATCTATCTCAACTATTGACCTTCAATTTCTAGTTAATTGTATGTAATATCTTTATTTTTTTTTTGATCCATCAGAACCTCGCATTGAAACAGTTACAGAGGACCACGCGTTTCACGAAGTTTGTTTATGTAGACATGGCCCAGCTGACAGAGAATCATGAGTTTAAGCTGACCATTGCACCACCGCGCAGAACAAATGGCAGCTTGGGAGAAAATTCTTACAAACTTGAACTTCTGGATCATCCTTTGAAAGAGGTACCTTTTTTATTGTCATTAAATTTATTTAGTGTAATATTTGCACTGCAAGTTATGGGAGGGAACCGCGACTGCCCAGACATTCAAACGACAAACGAGGAGGGAGGGGCAAAACTTTGAAGTCACCTCCACTGAACTCCGTTGAACTGGCCAAGACCCGGACAAAAACCGAGCAATTCTAAGCAAGGGTCGCGATGCATCATGGCACTAGCGCGCAGGCTCGACATGACAGAATTTAAGTAAGATTCCTATTTCCGTTACGGGCTTATTATCATGTATCAGAGAAAATAGTTTAGATAGCAGCCGAAACAGGAGCCAAAAACATTGTAGAGTTTTATCCCTTCGCTAATTCGTTACAGTTTGACGAGCCATTTAGCACAACAAACCGTTATTTTAGTTATTAATAGTTACAAACCGAAAATTTTAAATATTATAGACCATGAATTTTATATTTGAACAGGAAACATATCTTGGATTTGCAAACGTAGACAGAATAAAGGAAAAAGTTGTTGAAGTTTTAAGGCAAATTCATGGAGAGAAGAGGGAAGAAGAAGTCATGGTTGACATGTGGTGTCATTTTGGTCACGCCTATATTACCAAGATTGATGAGGGTGAGAGTCTAGAACGTTTCTACAAAAATACATTTAAAAAACCGCATCTAGGAACCTGAGGCTTTAAAAACGTGTGCACACCCTGTTGCATGTTGTTGCCTACGCGTGTTGTTGGGACCGGAGTACTTGCGCAAAGTTTGAAATCGGTCAAATGTTTGAGCCAGCAACTTGCAACCCGCGCATTTCTTTTGTTCCGTGATCGCTGTAGCGTAGCGCAACAATGTTGGATCCGTTTGCAGAGCTTTTCCAATATTCTTGAGGCCTCGCACGCGTATTAGACGTAGTTTACATGGTCTCATGGGTTGCATCCTTCCCACGATGCACTGAAGGTCCCAGCATTGTTGGGAATTGTTGCATCCGTTTGCGCACCACTGCCAACACGGACGTAACAACTCCCAACATTGTTGGCCCAACAATGTTGGAGGTTGTCGCATCCGTTTGCACGTAGCTTTACAAAAGGATTTTTAGTGCGATGGTTGGCGATGACTGAAACACTTTTTTGTTTCTTTTACAGACGAATTAGAGGAAACATTTACGCTGAAAGAAGTACAAGAAAAACTTGAGATTGAAACTAGCAGAACTTGGAAGTACCTTTTCATCGAGGTCGTTGAAGACATGGAGGTTGAAGGAATTGAAAAGCATCTCCCATCTAAAGCTTCAAAAGAGGACATTAGACATGATTTCACCTTTTATACCCCTTCCTGTAGGGATGTTCGTGTTAAGGTATTGCATGGTTTCTAATATCTAGCAGACGATTGATGGATAATGATTTCTAAAATCTGAAGGATCATCTTGTCTGAGTATTCCTCCTTGGAAAGATTAAGGATGTACTCCCAGGCTGCAGAGAACCTAAAGAGGAAACATAAAGAAGATTCTGTCAAACCTTGCAATAATTCAGTCCAAAATACTGTACTCAAAACAACTGCCTACTTCATATATATAGAAACCTCAACTGCACATTGTACAATGTAAACTAAGCAAGACAAAAAGGTGTAAGTAGATTGAATATGCATTTCAAGAACACAGGCAGGCCAAACGAACAATGTCAATGTACTGCACTTAACTGGCCAGTCACAGACTGTTTTAGCTGACAGAGATTTGTTAATTGTATAACCAAACGTCTACTGTATGTCCATACAGTTAGATTCTGATCATTATCTCTTATTTTTTTTCTATATTTAAAATAATTGAATTATATTAATTAACTATTATTATTTTTATTTTTGGACAGTCAAACCTTATTTTTCACATGGTCACACACAGAAGAGTCCATTTGGTTCACATGAGGATGGGATAAAAAGCACTAATTGAAATTATTGTATTAACCAATAAAAATACCTTGTGATTTCAATCATAGTTGCAGATGAACCTTTGTCTTGTGCAGAGTTTGACAAATGCATCAGAAATGACTCAATTTGAGTGTCACTTAATGAATAACACCTTTGCAAGGTATGGGAAAAAATAAAAGATAAATGGTTTACACACTTTTAAGTTAATAATGGTTATGAATCCTGTCAGACTCCTTTGATATATGTTTTTGTGGACCTGACGGTGCACAAATTCGATAGCATTCCCATCATTTTGATCATATTTACCAATAAAAACATCACAATAATTTTATCACTCACAATTTGTGAACAAGAAACAAAGAACAAGTCTGTGCTCTTACAGCACCCAGTGGCCTCTGGCGTCTAACTTTTGCTCCCGGGCAACCAGAAAATCTTAGCTTTTTTCATAGAAATAATTTTCTGGGCACCCTGGATTTTACAGGTACAGACCCTTGGCTTAATCCTTCAATTTTTCTTAGAGCACAGCCTTGAAGAATTGTGCACTAATTTTGGTCAATCCCACTTCCTGTTCCGGTAGCAAAACCAAATCCCATATCCCCTAAAAGGTTCCCAAATCCCACACTATAAATTATTTCAAATGGAATACCCTTCCGGGGTCTAGCCTATATCTCCACTTCCATAAGTACCCTTAGCTTGGCATTTACTACATGCAATGCTTTGTCTTATGTGAGAATTCTGTCTTTGATCCTGCATACGTAAAAAATTTGTTGACCTACGTCACTATCTCTGGTTCCAATGCAGTTCCCTCCTTTCTTCTACACTTTGTTACTTCTACAATGTCTCCCACAGCCAGGTTAAGATGAAATCCTTCATGATCAGTGTCATCTTCCTCATGAAGGTCAACAAAGACTTCAGACAGTGAGAAACTGCCAGTTAGTCCTCTACAGGGATCCTTCGTTTTTATCAAAACACAGACCTTTGCTTTTTTACTAAATTTGCATACCACGACACCCTTAACTTTAACATTTTCCTCAAACAAATCAATTTTCTGCAGTCTACCTGTTAGCTCAAGATCAAAATCGGAAAAATTTCCTTCAGTCTCTGATAATTCTACAAACTGTTTGAGTTCATCAAAGAACTGTTTGGAATGCGAATTTTCTGTTAGGCGAATTTCCTCAGATTTCTTTACATCAATAAATTCTTTGACCAATTTGTGGCGGAATTTATATGTTTTGTGATGTGGCTCCAGTTTGTAATCATTATCTGCAAACCCTAATGGAACCTTCACATCTGTCAAAAAGGCCTGGAAATTTTCCTCCAAAGTGCGAAACAGCAATAGATTCTTGCAAATACCCAATTCTTGTAGATATTTCACCAGCTTCTTGGCCTCTCCTGAAGCCATTTTGACGACTGATATATTTTCATCACCAGTAAGGGAATAATTAACACTTTCAACTATTCCTGTGGGAGGGATAGGTGATTTGCCATGAATGTCACCCCAAAGTTTCTGTTCTTTTTAAGTACTTCCCTGTCTTCAAAATCTCAAGCTCCTTCTATACTTCCAAATTCCTTTACCTCCCATACAGCTGAAATACATTGTCGCGAAAGGCAAGTCCAGACACACCTCATACATTTTTTCTCCTTTGTAGCCTCCGGTTAGGAGCCAATAATATGCTAATGAGACCATCTTTCCGGGAAATACGTGTACAGAATACCTTAAAGGTCAAATTCCCGGAATCTTCCAACTCGAAGACATTCGATTGTTGTTTCCAACAAAGACAGACATCGTTTCCTGTGATAAAATGACCATAAGTAACCAAAACAAGGCCTGAAATAGAGAGACATCTCGCAGAACGGTCAGAATACATCCGGCCATTTTGAAACACGACAAATTCTTTCTTACAGGGGCAGAGAAGGGAAATTTTGCCTCGTTTCAAAATCGAGGCGTTGCGGAAGTCAAGGTAATTTTTTCATTGATTTTATGCGAATAACACAGCCCATCACAGATAAATAACACAACAGGTTGTCTTCGTGCTGCCATGTTAAGGAAACCAGTTCTATCGAAGAACTTTCGGTACGTTCTTCACTCTCAGGGCGTCACACTTAAAGACTGCGTGACAAGGCATTGTCACGGTATATTAGTGTTCTTCAAGGAAATCAAAATGGTTTTATTGACAAAATACTTAAAAAAAAAACATAATAAAAAAAAGTCCGTTTACAGCTAGCTCGCTGTTTGCATCTTATCAAAATTGTTCGGCCCTTTACGCTGTCAAACCCTGGACCGCATTGATCGTAGCCTCATAATTACTACAATTGTAGCTCTGAAAACAGGGTGGTAACGAAACTTGGATAAGACTACTAAACCCTCCGTGCTATTTGTAGCCTGCGAACCAGTCGTCTCTCATCGCTCCGTTGCAGCAGCATTTTCGGGTCCGTAGGGGAGATATTGCAATCCTGACTTTTTTTTCAGTCCTATTGGAATCCATTAAATTTACAAAAAGGTATTGATCAGAAAGTCCAACTTTTTCTGAACGAAGAAGGTTTGTATTATCAATACATAAATAATTAATTCCTTTTGACGGGTTTTCTTCGTAATTTATTAGCACCATTTGCAATTTGAGAACCACGAATTTACATCTTCAAACTATAGAGTTGCCGTATTAAAGGTCGCCCGATGTAAGGTGATCGGTATTTTCTCGCCAGCGATTGGAATCCAAAATCCCAGTTCAACTGCCAAGGAAGCGACAAGCCAGTATCTGGAATGCGGAATCTATAGCGTGGAATTCAGAATTCAAGCCCTGAATTCTGAATTCCACGCTATAGTGGTAACCTAAGACAGTCGGACTTTCTTAGGTCACCATTAATTACTGAATCGAAGTGTCCATAATACAAAATGACGATTGTAACTGAACCTGAGCCGGAGGATTTGACGTCACAAGACAAGATGATGTATTAAACTCAGCTCAGTTTTACAACAAAATGGAGAGCGAGTTGGGATCATCCAAATAGCAAAGGTTAATCTAGTGGATGAGGCCCTGGACAATAACCAACTAAGTGTGCAAATCCTTGCTTCCAAATTGAATAACATCTGATAATACTTGAAAAAGGCCACTGATAGAAGGCACAAACTAAAGATCTTTAAAACTGATTGCATTCAGTTAAACTTGAACAACACAACCCAGCTACAGTGACTATACTTCTTAGACTCTTCTTAATGTTTTCAGTCATGTCAAGATTCCGAGGACGGCAAAGAAGACCCAGAGGTCAATCGAGCTGGTACGATAGCTCTATGTCTGCTTCAGCAGACCAAGAGGAACAAGTAGAGATCCCTTCGGAAAAAGTGGGACTTGTTATTGGACGTCAGGGAAGGAGACTGAAAGAAATCAGAGAAGAATGTGGCGTTCAAATATTCATCAAAGATAATCTTGCTCACTTGTGGGGGACAGCAGAGCAGGTTCAAAGAGCTAAAAACATGATTGAAGAAATCCTGAATACGGTGAGCATCATGAAAATAAAAATATGAATTTCATACATTAGTTGTGCACGTGGAAGAGCATCGCAGTTTATAGGCACCACATACGTTTAAACCTCGGACGTAGACGCAAATTCATACCCCCACCGTGGTACAAGGCACGGGGGGGGGGGGGGGGTTGGAA